TCAGGGGCTGGGCGTGGGCATTTTGGGGGCAGAGACATTAGTTTGGAGGTCAGGGGAGGCGCGGTTCTCGAGGCCTGTCCCTCGCCCACTCAGTGGGAATGAGAACCCGCCTGGAAGGACGCTCTGCCCACCAGGCCCCCGAGCCCACAGCCGTCTGTCTGCCGTCTTGTCCCCCTCCTCCCCGCGCTCATCGATCTTCCTCTCCTGCCCTGATCCCCGGCCCCCACGCCATCCCCAGGATCGCGCTGCTCCCCCGCAAGCCGGTGACCATGTGCACGGCCCCCAGGAGCACAGGACGAGGGTCGACCAAGCACAGTCTATAGAGCACAACAAGGGGGACACGGAGACCGTAGGAGGCAGGGGACAGGCGGGGGAGAGACCCGTGGGGAGTGGGGAGAAGAGGAGAGATGGGCAAGGAGCTGCAGCAAGGCCTTGGGAACATGACGTGCTTGACCTTCAGAAGGAGATGCCAACGGCCACGGACACGGTAAACCTTCGGGCCTTGCAGGGGGGAAAGCTCCGTGGGCTTCTTGGGCCTCCCCGATCCTGGCTGTATCTGGGTTCTGCTCCACGGTGGCCAGCCCGGCCTGGAGAGGGCCTCCGTCCACACACAGAACTTTTCCTCCCGACAGGCCGACCCAGGAGCAGACCCCCGGGGTCAGACCAGGGCAGCTGAGCAATCGCACAGTTGATGGACTTGGCTGAAACTTGCGTGACTGTGATGCGTCCCTTTTTAAAGACCGGAATGTTCGGTCTGTCCACAGGGGCTCCCCGACGGGCCCACGACAGCACCTGCCCCTCTATGCCCTGCACACACGCCACAGGCCTCAGTCTGTGCCGGCTCAGTGGCCTGGCCTCTCCCCCACCTGCCCCGGCCGCCTGCTAACAGCGTCTTTCCCTTCATCCTCAGGGTGGAAGCCCCCGTCTCAGGGAGGCCCTCCCAGGTGTTTAGTGAAGGTCCTGAGGAGCATCGCCCGCCATCACCGCTCGTCCTCACCACCCGCGCACGGCCACCAGGCTCCCCGAGGGTGGGAGGGCAGACTGCCTCTGCCCTGTTCTCTCCCCATCCCCTCCAGCTCGATGCTCAGCCCTCAGCGGGGCACCTCGGAGCAGCTCCCTGAACATTTGCAAGCGAATGAACCCTGTGCCTTCTCTGTGCTTCCATGGCCGCCGCACCCCTCCTCGCGGCCACTTTCCGCAGACGCGTTTGCCCCACAGGGTCCAGACGTGCGGGCCCTACCCCGGCAGTCATTGCGGCGGCCGCTTCCATCTCTGCAGGTCTCTGCTCTGCCGGTGGTGCCGGGGATCATTTGGGGACACAGGCTGATGCCAGGAAGGGTAACAGAGAACAGTCGCTGGCTGAGCCCCTTCTGGGCCCCCAGGGCCGCGACAGGGAGAGACGCAGAGACGTAAAAACAGCTGCGGAAGCTGAGCCACGCGAAATCCGTGAGCCAGGTCGGCCCGGCCTACAGCCTGGAGCCAGTACGTGGGGATCTCAGCGCGTAACTACCAGCCCGACACGCGCCGGCCGCCAGGGGTGGCTCCCGCTCCCTGGGAGGGTGACAGAGACCTTCCCGGTGCAGGCAACACAGGCAAGCCCCTCGTCCTTGCGTGTCCCAGCCCGGGAACGTTAGCGAGCTCCCTGGGTGGCACCAAGGATGGGCGGGAAGCATCTGGCGATACTGCGTTATTTTGCGGTTTTAACTAATTAGAGCATCTCAAACCTCTCTTGTCTTTATTCTAAGCTGACCTTTGGAGCTTGACCTCCAAAGGTCAGCTTCTCTTGCGGAAAGCACCGAGTTCCAGATAGTGTCCGTCAACCGCGACCGCAGTAGGCCGACGCGGCAGCACCGGGGACAGAGGTTTCCGTGTGGAGCTTCCCCGGGTGTCGGGAGGGTCTCGGCTCGGGCAGTTCCGCGCACCTGCTCAGGGCAGACTGTGGGTCAGACGGACCTGCCCTCCCGGCGCCCGGGTCTGGGGGCTGGGGGCTGGCAAGCGGAAGGCCCCCTTCTCCTGTATCAGGCTGCCTTTGTGAATTGTCTCGTCAAAGAAAACTACCCGGACACTGCGCTGTCATTGGGAAAAGTCACCTTGAGATCATCTGATCTGGGGCTGCCGTTGAGTTGAGTTCCTAACCTTCCCAGCAGGAAAGGCGTTTTGGCTGGAGCCCCGCTGCCCCCGCCGAGGGGACCTTGAAGCAGGCCCGCGGTGGGTCGCTGCGTGACTGGAACAGAAAAGCTGTGCTTTCTGGCCTGCCCCTCCCTCCTCCGGGGTGCACTCCAAGGCTGATGGGGACACCGGGACTGCCTCCACCAAAGGGCCAGATTCCTGTCTCTACCCAACTGCCCCAGGGCATCGTTCCAGCCCAGCCTCGGCTGTAAACCAGCCTCCGGCCGCCTCACTCAGCCACCTAGAAAGCTCACTTGTGCTTATCTCTGTTCGTGTTTGCATAAGATAATGCTAGTGCGGTGCCACAGCCTCCTGGGGCTGGGTGTGGGGGGGTGTTAGGAGCTCACTGGTCCCCCCCCCACCCAGGGTCTTGTCCTTCCTTAACAAAGGACCAGATGTCGCCCTGAAAAAGACACCTGTCTTGGAGGCCCCAGCAAACGGCAACCCTCTTTGCCGAGGTGGGCCAGAGCCCCGGGTGCCAAAGGGTGACCTTCCACACTTCATTCTCCTGTGGAAGCAGATGGGCAGGACTCGGGCTGGTGGGAGACTGCATCAGCGTCCGCGAGGAATTCTGAGGGCACGTGGAGGGTGACCTTGGAAAAGGCTCCTGACCTTGTAGCTCTCCACCTACAAAGGAAGGAGTAGAGGGCGCACCCACAAGACCCTCCCGTCCCCGCGGCTTCCCACCCCTAGGTCTGTTGTTGACAACTTGGGAGATTTTTCTGCAAGGGTGTTGTCGGCGGGGCTCTAGCAGGCGTCCAGCTAGGGTGGACTGAAGCCGTGTACAGTTGGTATCACGCGTTCAGAGACCTTATACATGAGCCTACAGAGCATTCTAAGGTGCTTGAGCAGGAAGGGACCACAAGAACCTTCTGGCTGGGAATTTTTTAACAGATGATGTAAGTCCTTGCTGGTTTACATGACCGTAGAGTCACCAACGTCATCACCATCCTGACAACCCTCTGCCAGGCACCCTCCCGCCACCACCTCTGTTTATCCACCAACGCTCACTGCCCAGGTGGGGGAGGCTGAGGCTCAGACAGTGAAGGTGAGGCAGGGGTAAGAAGCCACAAGCCCAGGCAGGCCTCGGCGTCGTTCCTGCCGTCTGGCACCCTGGTTCTAGAAAAGATGACGTCAGCCTGCGTGGGTAAGCATGTTACTGCCCGGGCACCTCCTGCAGGAAAGCTGCTGCGATGAGCCACACACTCACCCCTCAGGCTTGCCTCATGGTCACGAATGGGTGCATCTGGGGGCACGTGGTCTCTGGCTGGCCAGTGCTACAAAGCCCCATCGCACCCTGGATAGAAGGTGCCAGGCGCGAGCGAGCAGAGAGACTCCCACTGCCCGGCTTCGTGGTCCTGTAATTTCCCAAGACTGTGTTTTCTGCTTGGAAGGACAGAGTGGAGAAGGTGTGGTGGGTTTTGGTGTCGGACCTGGGCTCAAGTCCTAGGTCCCGTTGCTGGGATTCCCAGCAGCCCGCCTGCCCTCTCCTGGTAAGTTACAGTGCGCCAGTGGGCTCAAGCTCATCTCCCCTCCAGGGGAGAAAAATCAGCCCCCTTTGTCATCTGAGCCACAGAAAATCTGCATTAAAGCCTTGGGATTCCAACCGCCCGGGAGGCCTTCCAGTCCGCAGAGCGACTCCTTCACGCTATCCTGCTGTGGCCACGGAGAGATTCAGGCTTTGGGACTTGGGATGTTTTTCTATGCTTCTGTGTATTTCTAAAAACTGAGGTATAACTCACGTGTGTGCGCCCAGGAGAGTAGATCACCTCCTGAAACCGTAGCAGTCTGCGACGAGACGAGAACCTGACCTGACGAGTTCCGAGACCGAGCGGTGAGCGGAATCCTGAACTGAATCTGATTTCAACTTTACCGTCCAGCCTTTTCTGCTTCTTACACCTTTTATGGCCAAAACAGGACTGACAACCGCACCAGCCAGCAGCCTCCGACGTTGTCAGTAGCAGTGGTCACACAGAGGAGCCGGTGTGGGTGCCACGGCCTGGGGTCTGCCGGTGGGTGGGGGGGCTCCAGACCGGCCCCCAGCCCCGCGGCCGCGAGCTCACCTCAGCTAAGAGCAAGGGGCATCGCAGTCCCCTTTCTGTCGGTAGCAGCACTGACGGAAATCTGCTAGCCACAGGCGGCCAGAGCTAGGCCAGGCGTGCCCGTGGGATTCTCAGCCTCACCCTGGGCTCGGGACACCGGAGAGCCAGGGTCCCCATCACGGACACTCCTGTCTGCTGACAGCTCTTGGGGAGGCCACGCCGGGTACTTAGGGTGACTTAGAAGAGAGCCTACCAGTAAGTGCTGGTCATAGAGAGATGCCATGGGGCGGGGGCCGCCTGCGGGTCAGCGCTGCCGGAGAAGGCAGGGAGCCGTCTCAGAATTTCTTCTCGGGAACGTCTCACTCGGTATATATTAGTTTACGGAATTCCTCAGTGGTGGGATTTCAGCTGCTACTTTTTCATTCAAAAGACATCATTTTTTTAGATTATAGAAAATTCTGGAAACCTTCTAGGACTGGTGTGAGTCTCTGAAAGGGTTTCCTCCGCCTTCTGGCCGCCCCGCAGGGAATGGGGTCCCTGCCGCCACCTGGTGGCAGCTCTGGCTTCTGCACTCGCTCTGCCCAGCTGGGGCGGGGGACAGGGACGGAAGTGAACACAGACAAGTCCCACCTCCCACGGGACCCACCTTTCGGTTTGTCCTTTCTGCAGGACATCAGTCTTTCCAGAGGGACCTTGTGTGACCCCCGTGTGGTTAGACGCGCTCCCCGCAAAACCCAGTGCAACGAAGAGACACACGAACACACGAGTCCCGCTGGTCTCGTTTTCCAGGGATCCGCGGCGGCCCCTTGGAAAACCACTACAGGCTGAAGCAGTTCCACTTCCACTGGGGCGCGACAGACGAGCGGGGCTCGGAGCACACGGTGGACGGCCGCGTGTACCCAGCAGAGGTTGGTAGATGTGCTAGCCTCAGCTACGGGGCTGCTCTCTCCATCCTGGCTTCGCGTGGAGGGTGTGGGGTGACCGGCCGGCTTGGTAGCCCAGGAAGGGAGCATTCCCCGGACACAGGACTCTGGGGGCTCAGACTGGAGCAGTGGGTCGCCCTATGCATTCAGTCACACAGCTATCCTAAGACCAGGGTACCATTCACACTTTAGTCTAACAGAAGGAATGACCGAGGTTCTAAGAGGCTCTGTGACTTGCCAAGGTCGGCCACTGGGATTCAAGAGTTGCTCCCTCTGCCACGTGCCCGCTGCTGGTTAGTTATGGACTAGAAGCTTCCGGTCCTTCAAGGCACTTGGGGCCTTCGATGGAGACCTGAAAATCCTTACAGAGATCATCTTCTTGAAAGGACGAGACGTTGGCCTCGTTCCAAAATGGGACTCTGTAGGGAAAACCAGTAGGGATAAATGTTAGGAGTTGGTGTTCGTAGCTATGACAGGGCAGCAAGGGAATCACCCCAATATTTTAGCGGCCCTGGAGGAACTATTCGGTGAGACCCTGTGAGGCCGCACCAGGTCCAACGGTGAGCAACCGGCCACATTCACTTTATCACTCCTCTTTCCACACTCCCGTCCCTCCGTCCACCCACTGACCCCCCACCCCCGAACCAGGCTTTAACAGAAGAGGTCGCTGCATAGGGAGCAAGACTGGAACCTGGGCCCGCTGGTGGCTCTCCCTGAGTCAGCCGAGCCGGGGCTGCTGCGCCCATTCTGGCCAGGCCTCTGGCCCATGTAGGGGCGTCCGTTTCCCGCGGGGTTTGGAAGGCAAATCCACTTTGAAGCTGGGGTCTCTGGAGGAAGCTGCCTGCCGCTGGGCCCAACGCCCCGACTGGAGTGCCCGTGGACCCCGCACCCTTGGCAAGGCCCCCCCGGCCCTGGAACCCAGCAGCTGCCTGGGGAGGGTCTAGGTGACCACGACAGGCTGCAGCGCTTTCTGGACTGTTGGTGTGGACTTGGGGCTTGGGTCGCCATTCAGAAAGACCGCTAGCCCAGCTCATCCCGTAGAAGGACCTCTGTGTAGACACCCGGGCCCCTTCTTTGCTCTGGGCCAAGCTCGGCCTCGGGAGGACGTCACACGGAGCCCAAGCCAGGCCCCGGCACCAGGCCTCCCCTCTTCCCCGGCCCATCCTCTGCCGCTCATTTAAGTCCTTGCCGGCGGGCCAATCCCGATGCCGAGTTTGGGCTCGGCAAAACCTGAGGAGGGACGGAAAATAGGGGCCTAGATGAGGTTCCAAAGAGAATGACGGACATGGGGAGAAAATGCAATTCGGATGGCATTAAAGATTGGGAGTCGTTTATCTGAAACTCAAATTTAAATGAGCGTCCCGGAGCCAGTCTGGCAGCTGCGCTCAGGTCTCTGGGAGAGAGGCCACCTTCCTGCCACCAGGTCCCGTCTCACCCCGTGAAGCCGAGCCTCCTTCCCCTCCCCCGAAAGCACCCAAACCCTTATTTTCTGCGGTTCTCACTTGGGAGCCCCAGACAGGCCACACACCTGAATCCAGTCAAACCGGTAAACGGAGCAATGGGTGCCAGGTCCGGCCGGGGAAGGAGGAGCAGCTGCGGTCTGGCCGCGTCGGGACCAACGTCCTGCCTTTCTCCTCCCTCCAGCTGCACTTAGTTCACTGGAACTCGGCGAAATACCGAAATTACAAAGAAGCCGTAATGGGGGAGAACGGCGTGGCCGTGATAGGCGTGTTTATAAAGGTAATTTCGTTCGGGCTCCCCCCCCAACCGTGAAGCAGGTGACCCCCGCCCGTGGAGTGGGGAGTGGGCTCGCCCGCCCGCCGCCTTCTCCAGCGGCCGTTCCCGTCTGTGCCGTGCAGCTGGGGGCCCGGCACGAGGAGCTGCAGAAGCTGGTGCGAGTCTTGCCGGAAATAAAGCTTAAGGTAAGGGGCGGTCGGCACAGCCAGAGGAGCGCGTCTGTTAGAGGGATGGCTCGTTCCAAGGACAGGAGATCGGTTGGGTGGAAGGGTCTGGCCGAGGGCGCGTCTGAGGCCCATCCTACGGCTGGGACCCCCGGGCTCACTCCAGCGTGTCTCCAGAGAGCTCACTCCCTGACGCCTGTTGTCCCTGACGTCCCTGCCGCCCGTGGGCCCCTCCCTCCTCAGAACAGGGGGGGCTGGACTCCGTCTGAGTTTCCCAAAATCCAGCCTCTCAGGCAGCGTCTTAAGGTTTCTGTCGTGTCCACCTGTCGTGGGCACTATTCACTACGTAGCGTTTTTCCTTAAACGGATCAGCTCGGAAGAATCTTTCGACTTGTCCCGGCTGATGACATCAGACCAGGGTAATGTCTGTCTTAAAACCGACGGCAGTAAATACCCAACTGTTGTTGAGGGGTGCCCACACGCATGCCACCTGCCACACCCCCGCGGCGGGATGGTCGGGCCCCCACCCGGGAGAACAGGGCGGCTGCGGGAAGGGAGAAAGCTGCGCCCGCCGGCCCGCTCGCCCAGCGAGGGCGTCCGCTCGGCTCCCTTCCCGCCCCTCGGTGCGGGAGCTCAGCTGAAAACCACGAGGACAACAATGTAGCTTTCCTCCAGCAGCAGCTGAGAAAGGACTTCCACCGACTCGTGGAAATTCCAAAGAGATGTCGTTTGTTTGTTTGGTACCAAACAAAAGAATTCCGGGACGTGAGGAGTCTCGGGGGTCCCTGGATGGGGACGGATGGGCCCGGACCTGTCGCAACAATGGCTCGAGCGGCTCCAGATGAAAGCCGGGGGCCAGCCCTTCCTCCGCGGCTTCGCGGGGCCTGTTTGATGTGGGCGGTGTGTTCCCCTTGATGTTGACCTCGGGCCAGCCCAGAGGGACCAAGACCAGATCCCCCCCCTGCTGCCCCGTCCGCAGGTGCAGGAACTTCCCAAGGTCAAGGTGCCGGGAGCAGCCTCTTCCCTGCTGGTGCGCAGCCAGAGTAAACTGAGGCTGTTTTGCCCGTGCGCCCGCCTCCCCCACGGTGTGGCCTCCACCTCTTGGTGGGAAGGGAAGGACCTGGCCGCAAGGGGCTGTTTACTCTGGGGTCTGTTTTCCCTCCAAGGAAGCTCTGGGACGCGTCTGGTCCCCCAGAGCCATCTGGGAAAGCCGCATGGGAGAAGGGGTGTCAGCGAGGGGGAGGGGGAGCACCTGGGCCTCACTTCTGGGCCTGATGCTCGACTTTGGCCTCAGTTTCCTAACCTGAGAAATGAGGAGACGAAAAAGATCAGCCTGCGTGGCGGGCATCTGGGCCTCACAACCGTTTGGGGGGTGGGGACCCAGTTAGACTCAGTGGCCCCTCTCTGTGCCCCATGCCGGGTGCCCCCAACATCTGGAGCCATTCTTCACGTAGGCCACGTTAGACACCATCTCCGTGGCCTACCGTTCTGTGGTCTTGACAAACGCGCAGTCATGGATCCTCCCAACATTCTAATTGGCGGGAAAGCGGCGGTGGGTGGACGCCGCCGGCCCCCGCCTCGAGCCACCGCCCCTACACCCACTCCTGCGGCCGGGGAAGGAGGGACAGCCAGCGCTGGGGTGGGACAGGCTCCCGCAGCATCTGGGCGCTGCCACCAATCACGTGGCTTTGGGAAGATCACTTCTGCGCACCCTACATTCCTCTTCAGCAAAGTAGAAACCCGCCTGGGGGGTGGGGGAGGGGCGTGGATTTGCCTCAGCACTCCCCAACCCCGCACTTCTTGGGTCTTGTCCCATGTTCACCCGTGACCTCCTTCCCTCGCGATGTCACCAGAGCACGCAGGGTGACATCATCGGCCTCAAGAGGGACCGGGAGTCCTGACACGCCACCCCACACGGGAACCTTGAAGGCGTGGCTCTGAGTGACACTCCGGCCCCCAAGGCCGCAGAGCGTTTTGTTCGGTGTAGGAAATGTCCAGGACGGCAAATCCGAGGGCACGGAAAACAGATCGGGGGCAGGCCAGGGTGGGAGGGGGAGGCGGGGGGCATGCCTGGGGTTCATTTCTGAGTGTGGGGCTGTTCCACGCTGACTGTGGGGATGGCTGCAGGCGTCCATCCGCGAACGTCCTGAGAGCCAGAGCGCGGGGAGCTTTGGACGAGAGGGTCCCGCGCTGTGGGAATATGTTTCCATACTGCTGCTTGCAGGGTAGTAGCGAGACAAGGAGTCCCACGGTGCACGGACTGGCGCAGTGGGCAGCGGCGGTGGCGGGTGGGGGGAAGTGGCTGCCGTCCGCACGTCCAGCCGCTTGCCTAAGGGCTGCGTGTCTAACTGGGGGTCAGTAGTTAGGGGACAGTCGGGCCTCTGGGACCCCAACTCCTGTGTCTGAAGGCAGGGGGAGGGGGCTGGGCCAGCAGGGAGGCCTCCTTCCCTGGGGACGAGCATGTCCGCTCCGTGCCTGGACCCTCCCGCAGTCCCGCCCCGGGCCCAGTCTGCAAGTCCGGGACCTCGGCGCTGGCTAGTGGGGTGTTGTCCCAGGCCTGCCCCCTCGGCCTTTGTCTCCCTGGCTTTGCAGAGCAGTAGGGGCCACTGACCTGGGCCTGCCATCCCAAGGGACCCCAAGAGATCCTTCCGTCACTGAGCAACAGCCTGCTGGAGGGCCTCTGGCTGGAGAACACAACCATTGTCTGCTCCCCTTCTCGTCCTGCACTGTGCTAAGTGGCCTCCAGATCATGGCCCCAGGGTTCCTGCCCCTGTTGGCAGATTTCTTCAGGGGACCCCTAGTCCTGGGCAGAAGCAAGGGTGTCCCCTTCTGCAGGCTCCCTGGCCCCCACCTCTTTACTGCTTTGGTTTCTCACTCCTTCCAGCCAGGTGGCCTCTGTGTCAGGCCACATCCTGCCTCAGGGCCTTTGCACTGCCTCTGCCCACTTCCTAGAAGGCTCTTCCTCCAGAAACTCGCATGCCTCTTCCTTCACCTCCTCCAAGTCTTTACTCAAACTTCTCCTTCTCTATGAGGCATTGAGGACCATCCCTCTTAACACACAGCCCCGACCCCCCTGCATTTCTGATCCCAGAGCCCCACACTTAAATTTCCTCCATCCCGCTTACCATGGTGGGAACAACTTGATATTTTACTTTGTGTGTGATCTGCTTTTCTCCAGTAGAAGGTGAGTCCCATGAATGTGGGTAGTTTGTCCTCTCTGTCTGATCCTGTCCCCCACCCACCCCGTGCCTAACATAGAGTAAGGTGCACACCACATAGCTGTGGCGAATAAATAAAGGTCTTGCCCCATCCATGCCCTCCAGAACACAGAGCGGCAGCTTTCCCCGATCCTTTGATGAAGGCTGGAAAGCCAGTAGACACGGATCCTGACCGGAGCCTGCCACGCAGGAGAGAGGCTGACGTGAGCCCCCCCTTGGCTGCAGCCCAGGGAGCTTGATGCTCAGCAGTTGAGACCAGCATCCAGAGAACCCTGACATGAAGGTCAGGGCAGCCTGCTTCAAAGAGAACACCAACTGTCCAGGAAGTGTAGTATTTTCTGGGGCAGCCACTATGGGAAACAGTCTGGTGGTTCCTCAGAAGCTTAAATACAGAATGACCGTGGGACCCAGTGCATCCACTTCTGGATATGTCCCCCCAGTAACCGAAAGCAGCGTCTTGACGTGTTCCCAAGGGCATCACTCACAACAGCCCAGAGGGGCAAGCAACGCAAGTCTCTCTTTGGGGATGAGCGGAGAAGCGAAACGTGGTCCGTCTGTGCAGCGGATTATTGGGAAGGCTGTGCGGACACCTGTCCCAGCGAGCGGGGTCAGCCCGTCACAGCAGGACTGACACTGTGCACATCCCGCTCACAGAGGCCCCAGGAGGAGTCGGGTCCAGACACGGGAAGTAGATGGGGGGGGGGTGGAGAGGGGGTGTCTAATGGAGACAGAGTTTTTCTGGGAAGATGGGAACGTCCTGGAGACAAGTGGTGCTGGTGTTCGTACACGTGGACGTGCTTGGAGCCACAGAACCATAGGCTTCGACACAGTTAGGATGGTCAGTTTCACGTTATGTGCGTTATTTTACCATCGTTTCCAAAAATGACACATTTTCACACCGGAGGTACGCGAACGTGAATGACTGGAAAAGGAAACTGTAAGTATGTGACGGGCGGGCGTCCCTGCCCTGCTGAGGACGGTCACGTCTTCCCGCTTCCACAGGTGACAGCCGCAGCCTTGCGGTATTTATCCCAGGAACGAGCTCAGCCCGTGAAGGCCTTGTCACCTGGGTGAAGATGGGGCACTGTCCCCTCCCACCTGCACCCCCGTCCCCCACCCCTGTCGCTGCCCGAGACCTGACACAGCCCGTGGTCTTGGTCCCGCAGGGTGCACGGGCCGCTGTGGGCCCCTTCCAGCCCTCCCGCCTCCTGCCCGCCTGCCGGGACTACTGGACCTACCCGGGCTCGCTCACCACGCCTCCGCTCAGCGAGTCGGTCACCTGGATCGTCCAGAAGCGGCCCATCGAAGTGGCTCAGGACCAGGTGAGCGGGGCCAAACCACTGTGCGGGCGGGACTGAAGCCGCGCGAAGACGCTGTGAGCACGGGTCAGGGTTTCCTTGTCCGGCGCAGTTTGGATGTCCCCCCGTGAGGACTTTCCGGCGGGAACAGGAGCTGGGTGGACCGGCACACTTGGGCTCGGTCTGATTTCGGTGGCTTCGAACTCAGACTCGGCGAGTCTCCCCGACCACAGCCCACCGAGCGGGGTCGGGGCTTGGCTCTGGTGTGTGCCGGGCTAGAGCTACTTTACAAGAACAGAAGTGAATTAGAACCAGGATACGGGTCCCCGTCACGGGACCTTGTGGGTGTTTGCAGGTGAACAAATTAACTGAGGAAGGAGAATGTCGGTGATTTCTGCAAAGCCGCGGAAGCAGGTGGATCGCTGGAGGAGAAGAGATTTCCGAGTTTGTCCCGCTACTTGGAACGATACAACAATTGAGGTTTCTGAGGTCCCCCTCACAGGCTGAACTAAGTTATGTACGTTGAGAGAAGATTCCAGAGTGATTAGGTCAGTCAGCTGTTACTACAATAATGCTACTTAACAAAACACCCCAAAACCCAACGGCTCCTGACAAGCATCTCTTTTTCCTGCTGTGGGTCTGTCTGTGCATTGGCTGTGCATGGCAGGCATTGGTGGTTTGGGTCGGGCCCAGTGTGTCCCTGCTCGTTGGACCAGTGGTTACCCAGAGCTGAGTCCATGGCGCACGACAGAAATGCAAAAGACCAGCAGACCCCACGCGCTCCCCTCCCACTGGCCACAGCAGGGCCGGGTGGCTGAGGTCCGTGGGGTGGTGGGGAGGAGGGGAGCGCGTGCTCACAGAGCAAAGCCCTAATCTCGCACACAGACTTACACCAGAAAGTCAACGCTGGCTGTCCCAGGGTTTTGCAGGGTTCTCATTTCCTTCCTCTTCCATTTCCAAATAGTGCCCCCAACCCCCGCCCGCCAAAGTAAGAGGATATCACTTGCTTACATTTTTAAAACCTAGAGTATCCTTTTTCTGGAAATCCCGAGTGTGCGGGGACAGCCTGTCTGTGTTGGGCATTCAGAGTCGGGGAAGACAGACACATAGCAAGCGTGCCACCATGGCCGCCGTCCCCGTGCAGGGCAGGCCTTCCCGCCCAACGCGTCTTCTTCCTGAGGCTCTAGCCTCACCATGCCGCGAATATCCTCTCAGGCAAAAGTCACCAAATGACGCTGTTTGCTCTGGAAGGTGGAACGATCCCGTCTTCTCCCACACCAGGACTGTTAGAGACACAAGGAGGACGCTGGTTGAGAAACGGCGCCTGGTCACCCAGCCTCCTCCTGTCACTCAGCGACCTGTCATGAGCCCCGTGAGTGCCCAGGATGGCAGCCACAGGGGGTTGGACATGGGTAGCAGCAGAAGCAGTGACGACGGACGCTGAGGACGGTGTCTGCGCCGTCGTCTGGGGGAGAGACAAATGAGAGTTAACCCTTTGAAGACGGGGGCATGTATGACAGAGCAATGCTAAGTGGGACTGTCCCCGGGGGCTGGTGGAGAAACGCTGCTTCCTGAGCAAGCCGTGCAGCGTGCCGTGGGCTGAGCCCCGGGAGCCAATGTCCTCCATGCCCTCCGCGACTCTGGGGCAGCTGCCGGCTTGCTCCCCGCGCAGTCGCTATGCAGACACAACCCCAGCTCCCTGGGCCATCGAACCTGCGAGTGACCCTCGCGGAGCTCCTCAGCACACCCTGAGGACAAACGAGGTGACCGGAAGTGGACCGGCAGCTCCTCCGGCGAGACACGAGTCTGTGGTCACCGCCTCCCACTCGTCCTCGCTTGACCGAGGCTCCAGGTGTTCGGTACCTGTGGCCAAGTAGTGACTCCCAGTCACCACCAGCGTCCCCCAGAGCTGTGGGGGTCAGAACATGGGGTGGTTCCGGCTTGGGATCGCTTGTGACCTTGCAGTCACGTGTTTTGGGGGCTCCGAAGGCTTGAGCCGGGCTGGAGGCTCGTGGCCAAAGCGGTGTCTCGGCGGCTGGCACACTGGTGCTGGCTGGTGGCTGGGGCCTCGGTGCCTCTCGCAGGTGCTGCTTGGATGTCCTCGCAACATGGCAGCTGGCTTGTCCGGGGCAAGGGTGTTGGAGACCAAGGCGGAAGCTTTGATGCCTCTTCTGACCACGCTCGGCTGTCCCCTCCACCACCTCGTGCTGGCCGTGCTTGGCCATCTCTGATTCAGCCTGTTGGGGCGGGGGTGGGGTGCGGAGCGCATGTGCACAGGGCAGGAGGGCCGCTTGGGAGCTGGGTCACACCGCACCTGCACCCCACCCACTCTGGCTGCTCTCTGTTACAGCTGGCTGCCTTCCGCACGCTCCTGTCTTCTGCGCTCGGTGAAGAAGAGCGGTCCATGGTGGACAACTACCGTCCACTTCAACCCCTGATGAACCGCAAGGTCCGTTCCTCCTTCCAGGCCACGGAAGGGGGCATCTGAGCAGACGCTAAACACAGAGAAAGAGATCGTTGTTCCAGTCCCCGTGCTCTTCAGCTGCAGGGAAAGGAAACCACTTCAAAGCAGCTTCAGTGGGGTAGGGTGGGGAACGGAAATGTGGGACACGGGGTAGCTCGGGGCCCATGGCGGGGCCCAACCGAGCCCCTGCTGACGGCTGACCAGGCCGCCAGCCCGGCCCCTGTCCGTCCACGCAACCTTGTCTCAGACAGGCACCCTCTGTGTCTCCACACGCAGAGGGACGGGGACCCACATGCATCTTCCCGGCCTCCAGGATGTCTCGGTGTCCTGGGGCGGCCGTGACGTATGACCACAAACCAGCGGGCTGACTCAACGGCAGTGTGTTGCCTCCCAGCTCCAGGGACTAGAAGCCCACACTGGTTCTGCCGGGAAGCTGGCAGGCCACCATGGCTTCCTGGCCTGCCCGGCCGCCAGAGACGGCCTGCATTCCCTGCTCGATGCCCGGCGGTTCCCAGTGTGGCCTCTCAGGACCCCGTGCCGTTGAGCTATGGTCCTTCTGCTTTTTTTTTTAATTATAGTGAAACACACATGGCATCATTTACCATCTTACCCATTTCCAAGTGATCGGGTCCGTGGTGTTTATTGCGTTCAGAACGGTGTGCAGCTGCCCCCACCGCCCGGCCCCAGCACCCACTTCGGAGCTGGAACTCTGCCCCCGCCCGCGTCCAGCCTGCGGCAGCCGCCCTTCCAGAGTCTATGTCTGGACTTCGACGGTGCTGGAGTAAAACACAAGCAGAACCGTACGGTATCTGTGCTCCCGCGTCTGGCTTCTTTCCCTCGGCGTCCCATCCCCAACGTTCACCCATCTTAGTGTCGGGGTCAGACCTTCCTTCCTCTGTGCGGCTGAGGAACGTCCTGATGGCAAAGGCCAATTTTACGCTCACAGTGTCACAGATATTCCCCTCTGGTGGCCAGGCCACCTAGGAGCAAGCCCTCGTGTCGTCTCCCAGCGTGACCTTCCCACCTGCTGCGCTGTGAGGGTGAGACGCGGCTCAGAGCCTGGCACATTTTCTCCCTCTTCCTTTCCTAAATAGCCTTTCTCCCCCCTAAAGTAAGGAGGTATTACTTGTTTACGTTTTAAAACCTCGGGGTATCTTTTTCTCTGGAAATGTCAAGAACACGGAGATGGCCTGTCTCTGCTGGGCGCTCGGAGCCCAGGGATGGAGAGACACGCGGCAAGCTCGCCGCCACGGCCCCCGTCCCCGCGCAGAAAATACGGAATCTGTGGAGATACAGCAAAAAAAAAAAAAGAGAGAGAGAAGAAAAGAAAAAAATTCCACTTCCTTTTGGGGAGACAAAAAACAGACCTCATACAGGCCACAAACAGCATCTCGAATCAGAGAGAAGGTGTGATGTGGGCAGGGCTTGACGTGCAGAGATTTTCATTTCTCTCCTATCTCAGAGCTCCCATGCTGTGTCCACAGTGTTCAGTCCGGCCTTGGGCGATCGGAGGCTCTGGCCCCCATTGCAGAGACAGGAACCCAGGCTGGGTTCTCTGGGAAAGCTCACCCTTGCAGGGCCCGTCCAGTTACAAGGCCTCGTCCAGAGGCTGCACCACGGGCCTTCCGGGGCACCCACAGAGCCCACAGATGCTCCTCCGGCCTGGCAAGCGTGGGTGTGCTGATGGGTGGGGCCTGGCTGTTAGCCCTGTGCGGAGCCAGAGGAGGACAGCTCCCGTTGCTGCAGGAGGACGGCCTGGGCGGAGAGGATCATGTAAAGCCTGGTTCGGACCAGAAATATTCCTGTCTTCTGGGGAAACGGCACGAGCCAGAGCCTAGAGTAAGGGTGGGCTTGCGCGTAGGGAAAGCGTCCTGCGGTGGCCGTACAGGTTGCCCCAAACTCAGCGGCTTCCAACAATGTGTGTTTGTTGCCTTAGCGTCTGGAGGGCACAGGGAGGTTCAGGTCTCCAGGAACAACGGTCAAGGTGTAGGCAGGCTGGTTCCCACTGGAGGCTGTTGGCGCTTTCCCGGCTTCCCCAATGGCTGGAGGCACCCCTGTCCCTTGGCTCATGGCCCCTCCTAAGACCACCTTCCAAGCACGTCACTGCCACCAGCCTCTGCCTCCATCACCACACCATCCCCCTGACTTGGACCCTCCACCTCCCTCTCATGAGGGCCTTGTGGTTCCCCTGGGCCCACCGTCATTGTCCAGGCCCCTCACCTCCAGATCGTTGATCCCATGTTCACAGTCCCTTTGTCACATGACGTCACATATCCACAGGCCCTGGGGATTCAGACAAGGACGCCCTGGGCCATTACTCAGCCATCCACGCTGTGTGCACAAAACCACACTGAGACTGGTCTCCTCTGGAGGTAGAGAGGGGATAGATTGGGAAGGATGCCAGGGAAACACAGGGGTGGAGGGAGGGATGTTGAGAATGTCCCAGACTACACTGTCCTCTAGCCCTTTCTGGGACGGTGGAATGTTCTAGAACTGTGGTGTCCTATAGCCCTTTCTGGGACGGTGGAACGTTCTAGAACTGTGGTGTCCTATAGCCCTCCCAGGGATGGTGGGATGTTCCAGAATTGCACTGTCTTTTATGGCAGCTCTTGGACACAGATGGCCATTGAGCACTTAAAATCTGTCAAGTGCAACTGAGGAACAGAATTGTGACTGTACATAATTTTAGTTACTTGAATTCAAATGCCGCCCGTGACCAGCCAGTGGCCGCCGTGTTGGGCAGCGCAGCTTTCTAACGGGACCTGAGGTATATTACTTGGCTGCCCACTTGAGAGCTGAGGTTTCTGAGGCCCTGCAGACAGGACCTGCGGCCACCTGGGATGTCAACTCCAGCCTCTGGGGGCATCACAAACTCCCTGCCAGCAGGTGACCAGTGCCTCCAAGGGGAGGGGGCTCTGTGTACTGGTCACGTCATTTGATTGCAACAGAAATGGCTGAAAATAAACTTGTTCTGACTCTCACGAGGGCTGAGTTTGGGGGTGATGCTGGGTGGGAGAGCATTGGCTTGAAGCCACCAAAATAGATATTGAAGAAGGAACCCACCGAAATGGACATGTTTCTATTCCACTGCTAAGCAGATGTCCCCCATCACTTCCCCCGTAATTATAGAGGAGTTTACTGACCAGCAGAGCATGCCGCTACCAGGAACTGGCACAGCTCGGGGGGCCCTCCCCGCCCAGACCCTGGGCTGCTTTCCTGGTCAGCAACCCTCACCCCCACTGCGTGACCAACCGCATGGGCCCAGCCCTCACCCCCAAAGTCTGCGGCTCCCTTGCACTGCAGAACGGTGTTTGAGAAAGCTCCCCAAGTGCCTGGCTGGGGTGGCTGGGGACAAGACCCCAGCCATCCCACTTAGCTCTTGTCACCAGCTCTATGGAACTTCTGGGAAACAGCCTCCAGGTTTTAATGGGGAAACTGAGGTGCACTTGAGAGATGGTGGCTTGCTGAGGAAGAGGCAGGAGTGGAGAGAGTGCTGCTCTCTGATGGGAGGCGGCCCACAGAGGCCCAGGCAGCGCTCGCTCGGCTCTTGCCTCCTCTGGTGTCACTTAAAGACAAGGAAAAGGGCCGTCCCCCATCCAGAAGCTCAAGCCCTGAGCTGTTCTGTTTAGGAAAAACCTCATGTTGTGATACCCTCCAGTCGCGCCTTAACGGACGCTTCCACCCAAAAAAGGCACCTGCTCAGACCTCCCGCAGTTTCCGAGAACCCCGCGTGCAGATAACACAGGCACGTGGGTGACTGGAGAACGCGGTCTCTGCGCTGTCCCTCTCCATGGGGACTTTAGGGGCAGAGAAAGGCTGAGGTGTGCAGAGGAGGAAGAGGGGGCTGCAGAGCCCGGGCTCGGTTCCACCCACCCCGCAGTAACGTCGTGTCCCCACCAGAAACCCAGCAGCAGGTAGGAGAGAACTTTCATCCTCCGTTCTCTTGCTGATGTAAGCCTTGCCTCCGCATCTGCAGACGGATGCCTTTGTCTCCTGGTAGGTGTTCTCTTTTGTCAGTTATTTTTAAAAGTCAGCGTGAACCCTGGGACGCTGAGACTCTCCCGGGACCCACGCCGAGCCTGGATGCATTGCCCTGAAACCACAAACACCCCGAGAGGAAAGACGTGGCTCTCAGCCCTCAAAGCAACGGTACAAAAAACAAACACAGACGCTCCCACTCCCTGTTCCAAGTGGCGGCCAGACGCAGAGGTCAAGGTCCGCAGTTTGCAGGACGGACTCTCAGGGCGGCACATTGTGGCCGAGGTCCGTATTGTGGAAACTCTGGCCCAGACTTGAAAGCTCAAAGGCCCCTCCCTGTGCTTTTATGTTATTTTCTCATTTTGTAAAATACAAACGGGTAAGAAGTGCTGGTTCCTGGCAAACTGCCATCCCTCGCTCCCTCCCCTCCCTGTCCTGACCCGAGACCCGAGATGCTCGCTCCTGGTGGCAGCCCCACGCTGCCCCTGCAGACAGAACCCACTGTGAGTTCTAATTCGGATGGTCCCTGCCCACCTCCCTCCTGCACCCCTCCCCCCAAGTCTGCACCAGCCGGGAGTCTGACCCCTTTCACCCCGCATCTCCCCGGCCTGGACGTCCGGCTCTCCCACCCACTGCCCTCTGCTCCTCCCCCTCTCTGGAGAAACACCTGGAATACAAGGCCCCCCGAGCCTTCGCCGGCACCCGTCCTGGGGTTCCCGTCCTGGGCGCTTGGCCTCCTGCCGAGAGGCGCCCACCGGCTCCATCTCAGTAAACGGCACCTCCACCCCCAGGGCCAAGGCCAGCCTTGGGAGCCCCTCGGAGCTCCTGCCCCTCACTCCCCACTTCCCAGATAACCGTGGATCCTGTTGGTGGCGGCCCTAGCCCGTTACAGGTTCTAGTTCCACTCGCCGTGCTCCATGGTCCGTGCCGCGGCCCCAGCTGCCGCACCTCTGGCCAGAATCGCGCCGGCAGCCTCTCGATGCCACCCCTTCTTTCCAGCTCTCCCGGCTCTCACCTAATCCACTCTCCTAACACATCTGTACCCCAAGCTCCCTGCTGGGTCAACCTCTGAGCGTGGAGTCCTCTGTGCTGGCACTGCCGCCCCACGGCTGTTTGAGTGAGTCCTCCTCTTCCTCCTCCCTGCAGCCCTCCAGCCCTGCGCTTGGATGGCGCACTCATCCTGTCCTGGTCCGCTGCCTGTTTCCCTGCGACGGCGGGGTCCTCATCTACCTGCTGACTCGCAGCCCAGAGAAAACGCTCATCTGGGGAAACGGAGTGAGGAGCGCCGATCCGTGATGCACAGGGGCTGCCTGCCGTCTCCAAGTCAGCTGTCCGTGCTCTTGACTCAAGGCCTTGGGCCGTGCTGTCCCCTCTCCTGGGAATGCCCTTCCCCTCCTGGCTCTGCTCGTAAACTTCTATCGTGCAAGGCTTGGCCCAAGTGCCTCCTCTGCAGTGATTCTTTCCTGGGCTCCTCCCCAGAGAACTGACCCTCTCCTCTGTGCTACTGCGTGTCCTACCAATGCGTGTGACAGCAAGAGAGGGAGAGCGTGAAGCAGCATGGAACAGTACGGAGAAGATGTGGAACAGCATGCAACAGACACAGAGCAGCATGGAACAGCATAACCTGCATGGAACAGACATGGAACAGCATGAGGCAGACATGGAACACCATAACCAGCATGGAGCATGACAGAACAGCTAGGAGCATCATGGAACAGCACGGAAAGCATGAAGTAGCCTCGGTGTTCGGCCCTCACCATAGAAAGCGTTGTGTAGGGTGGGGAACAATATCCTCCCGGAGATTTCTGAAGTGTGGAACTGAAGTCTCACGTCCCCAAATCTACCTTTCTGCTCTGAGTCCTGTACCTGGCTTCATATGTGTGGCCTCTGACCAGTGGCCACTGTGCCCAAAACACAGAGGAAGAGCGGAGGACCCTGAGTGAGCAGCTCTGAGAACCAGGACTGCCGAGAGCATGGGTCTCTCCAGACTCCGCAGAGTTAAGAGAACTACTCGCGAGGTGCGCACCTCAGGCCGGGCCCTGCTTAGTCCAGACTGGAGGCTGCAGGACGAGTTCCGCCGACAGCCCAGGGCAAGGCGGGAGCACGTTCAGTGTGAGAGTCGGCTCGCCTGTGCACCGACCAACACGCAGGCTCTGCTCTCACATCTGCCACCGAGCAGGGAGACGCCCGGCCCCAAGTCCATGGACGCGCTAGCATGGATGCCAACAGGAAAAAAGCTCTCCTGTTTCCGCCGTACTTAAGATACGTTCACCAACTGTTGCATTGAAGATTAAGGCTGTGTATTTTTTCAATGCCAAGATTATACTCTATCAGAATTTCCTGTGTCAGTTTGGGAACTTTTTTTTCGTAGTAGCATTGAAATAGGGAAACTATTTTAAAGTAAAATCTTCTGATCCTTTTACTACATTCTGGAAATTCAGAGGGGGTCGCCCTACAGGTGTTCCAGGTCCCTGAACACATAAACACAAATCAAAGTTACGGACACCAAACAGCAGGCGCAGAGCTCGGGCTCTACATCCATATCCGCGATTCCATAACGAAACACACAGCTTCCCTGCAATTAACGTCCCACAACCATTGCTCAAACACCTCGAGCCGGCGCGACCAGTTAGCGTGCAAGACAGTGGACATATGTCCGTGAACAGGACAGCAAAGCCCATGGGGCCCAGCCCCGGGCGGGGCGTGCATCGATGGGAAGGCGGTGCAGAGACAGGGCATGTGATAAGCAAGTGTGGAATACCGCTAGAGGTGACCAGGGCTCCGTGTCACTCCTGTTCCAGACGCAGGCCCAGTGGCAAAGCAGGCCGGCAGCGCTGGCCGGAAGCCCTGGACACTGGAGACATCTGCATGTGGTTTCTGCCCCCCTGGCTGTTGGCGCCAGAGAACATGGGGGGTCGAGGATAAGGTCAGGGCGCTGACGCGTGGCTCAGAGGATGGGGTTTGCTCCGCTGGCTTAGAGGTCAGGGGAGAAGATGGAGGGACCCTCTCCCACTTGCAGCTCCGACGGTTCCCACATGGCCTCAAGGTGTGTGAGCTACACTTTCGATTGGTCCACACCCCACTCACTTCTAGAACCTCAAAAGGGCTGAGTGCAGTGACACAGATGCACGTGTGGGCCACACTCCTGCGTGGAGAGGGTAGAAACGTCTGCGGTCAGACCCTAGCAGGCAGGCGCTGCCCCAGGGGTGTCGGGGAGCTGGGATGGTGTTGGGTTCCAGAGGGCAGAGTCATTGTGAGGCTGCCTGGGTCCTCCTAGCTTCCCGAGTATGGGGAGCAGAAGCAGCCGGGACCTTCTGGCCACTGTCTGTGTCCACTCGGGATGGGAGTAGCAATGGGAACAGGACGGTCTCCCTGCCACTTCCTTCTCGTGGGCCTGAGCTGGCCGCCAGAGGCAGGCTGACCGCTGGGAGCTACCTTCTTCCCTGCTGCACTCCACGAGCGAGGCAAATTCTGGGTGTGAGATGGCCTGGAGGTGGCTCATCTGAGGAGGGGGGAGACCCTGGAAGCTCACATCTGTGTGTGCAGGTCCCCGACGTGGACGCTGCCCGGTGCAGAACGGCCTCGGTCCGTCTGTCCCTCCTTCCACCAGAAGACGATTCTGCCGGACGTGCTCTCCCATCTGCTGGAGCCTGTGGCCCCGTCAGCTCACACGTGCCCACAGGGAAGGCCGGACCCCCCTCGGAGCCGGGCACACAGGGACCCATGGGTGCTCAGCCAGACGGGGACCCCGGGAGCGTCACGTGGGCAGGTTACGCTGGCTCTTCCTGCCCCCCCAACAGGCAGGCACGACCGGCCAGGTCCGAGAAGGGGCCCCCCTTTCTTTTTTTTTTTTTTTTTTAAAGATTTTATTTATTTATTTGTCAGAGAGAGAGAGAGAGAGCACAGGCAGGCAGAGTGGCAGGCAGAGGCAGAGGGAGAAGCAGGCTCCCCACAGAACAAGGAGCTCGATGTGGGACTCGATCCCAGGACGCTGGGATCATGACCTGAGCCGAAGGCAGCTGCTTAACCAACTGAGCCACCCAGGCGTCCCAGGGGGCCCCCCTTTCTATAATATCTCAGGGCCGGCTTAGGGCTGCGACAGAGCACGACAGGCGGGGCTCTCCACACTGGGAGTTGGTCCTCGCAGCGCCGCGGAGCCCAGAGTCCACAGTCAGGGCCCGCGTCCTCTGACCGCACGAGGGGCCCCAGCAGCAAGCGCAGCACCAGAACCACCTCTCCTGGCCTCGTGGGACACACAGCCCCGCTCGGCCACGCAGATGCCCCCCCCACGCCACCAAGATCGCTCCTGCAGGAGCCGCCCCGTCCCGGCCCCGCCCCGGGAGGCTTCCCACCGGCTCCTCCCACCCACCTGCTCCTCCAGAGAGAAACTGAGTCCCCGGCGCGCGGCAGGCCCTGCCTGGAGCTCCGTTAAGCGCTGGGACAGAGGCCACATCGGAACGCTGGCCCCCGAGTCCAGGCCGTCACCTCCCCTCCTTACTTCAGGCTCAAATGGACGGAACAGGGAACTGACCGTTAGCCATCCTTCAAAGTGGACAGTCCGGGGCATTCGGCATATTCCGGCCAGGGCGCACACCGAAGGGAACCCGCGACCAGCAGCCATTGCCCCCGCCCACCCTCCCCTGCAGCCGCGGGTACCTTCAGCCTCTACACGTGCGCCCTCCCTGGACACTCCGGGGACCAGAGCCACGCGGCCCGCGTGCCCAGCGTCCATCACGCAGCTCGACGCCCTCTCGGTTCCGAGCGTCGGCCGCGTGCGCTCACGCCGGCCCATCCGTGCACTGACCCATGCGCCTGGACTCCCCTCCCGGTCCCTGCTGCGGGACACCTCCCGCGCAGTCCAGAGCAGGCACTCTCCCTGAGCGCACCCACAGGGCCGAGCTCGGGGACAAGCCGAGCGGGAGGCCCGGGCCCAGGGGCCGGTGGTCAGACCCATGCCTGAAACACAGGCCCACGTCCCGTTTTTCACTCGGTTGAGGCGCTTAATGAAAATGTAGCCCTAGGATCTCTCACACTTCGCTGCTGTTACTCAGAAATTCCCCGGGGGCTTCGGGCCCCCCCTGGAGCCACAAACACTGTGACCAAGTCGGGCGGCCTTGCGGAGCACCTGCATGAAACCAGAAGGATTTCTGTGGAGGGACGTCAGGAGTCCTCCCGGGGGTGGGCCACGAGGGAGCCTCCAGGAGCAGCGGGAATGGCGCTGTCCACAAACTAGAAGGATCCACGTGCTGGTCCGACAGGCGCTGGAGAGCAGGTGGCATGGTGGCCCGTGTAAGGGACACAGTCAGCGTGGCCTGCCCTGCAGCTGGGGCTGGGCCTGGCCACCTCCTGAACTTGCCAGGACTCATTTCTCCAGCCACAAGCAGGGCCTTACGATGTTCCTGCAGGACAGACATAAAGGTCTGGCCGGGCTAAGCACCCCATGGGCAGCAGCTGTGGGCACACGTGGGCCCAGAAACAGAACATCATTTCAGATACTGCTGAGGGCAGGCCCACCTTTTCAAGTGTTAGGAAAAGCCAGTAGCTGAGCCCAACAAGAGAGTGGCTTTTAAAAACAAATTTCTAGGAGAAGAAAGGACGCTTTCTTTGTGAAAAGGACACAGATATTTCTCATAAAACTGAGAAGAGGGAGACAGGGGCAGCCAGATGACGTGGGAGGGGGGGCAAGTTTCCACATCAGCAAGGGATTTTCGGGTCAGCTCTTTCATGGGAAAAAGAAGGAGTTCTAAAGGAGAGTGAGGATCTGATAGGCCTGTAAAGGCCCAGGGCCTTGGCGGAGCAGCAGGCAAAGTCACAGGGCCAAGCCAACAGAGGGTCACATCCTCCCCTACCCCTCCAGAGCTCTGCCCTAATGCAGGTTACTCCGTGGGGGCGGGTGGCTGCCATGCTGCGTCCTGGCTTTCCTTGACCTGCTGTGTATGGCTTTTCTCAGTTCTACCCCCCACAAACCCTACTAGTGCCCTTGTTTTACCCATGCAGAAGCTGGGACACACCTGCTGGAGGTTCCTTTCCAAGCCAGGCCACTGGCCAGGCTATGAGCATTGAACCAAGTGTTGTCTGGGGTAGCTCGAAGCGGGGGCACCCAGGAGTACCCCCGGAGTAGGAAGGAAGCCTTTTAAACCCTGGAGACAAATAAACCTCTTGTCTCTTGGAGCCGGGGATCTGTCCGGGAGGCATAAAATCACCCTACGTGTGTGGTCTGCAAGTTTTCTTTACCTTCGGGGACAGGAGGCGGTTTGTTTTAGGTGAAGGGTGCTGGCTGACAACTGTGCTGGGAATATTTGTGAAAGACACGGCACGCAGGTCTGGTGATCGAAGCGTCGTGAGGCCATCTGACTCTCCCTGGGTGAGGGGGCCACGCTTCTCTTCCCCAAGACCGAAAAATCAGAGTGTGTTGGCAAAGGACAGTCGGAGACAAAGCTAGGGGAGCAGGAGGGCAACCTCCCATAGACTCCTAGCTTCCCCAGGGAGGAGTCCCAAGCCAGGCTTGGTGTGGGACGGGAGCCAGAACTCAGACATTGCTCATGTGTGTGCCCCAGAGAGTTTCCTTTCAACCCTGGGGCTCCGTGATGGGAGGACTTTGAAGAGATTGAGAACGGGGGCACCTGGTGGCTCAGTGGGTTAAAGCCTCTGCCTTCAGCTCAGGTCAAGACCTCAGGGTCCTGGGATGGAGCCCCACATCAGGCTCTCTGCTCAGCAGGGAGCCTGCTTCCCCCTCTCTCTGCCTGCCTCTCTGCCTGCTTGTGATCTCTGTCAAATAAATAAATAAATAAATCTTTCAAAAAGAGAGAGAGAGATTGAGAATGTGGAAGAAGGGTACGCTCGCTGTGGAAAGTTTAGAAACAACAGGGAAATAGAAGAAAATGTAGGTAACACGCACGCTTGTGCGCATACCAGGAGATAGCTGCTGTCACCAAATTGGAGTTTAAGCCATCAAATTTGCCATTTATAGACACGATCACCACTGCTGGTGATCACTACTGATGGAGTTCTTCTGTGACGACACTGTGCTCGTCTGTAGTGGGAACCATGATCCCCACTTAGAGCCTGGGAAACCCAGGCCCAGAGAGCGGCCGGATTTGCCCCATTCCTTGAGCTGGTGGCCCTGCGGATGGGGGACTCAGCAGTGAGTTCAGGGGCCTGCATGGAAGCCCAAGGATGACGCTGCTGCCATGAAATCTCCCTTTCGTGTCCCCCCAAGTTTATGGAGATAGGTGCCCCCTAATGATTTGACATTTGTATATGCTGCAGGCGCCCCCACGGCGAGTCTACCCATCACCTCACATAGTTACTGGTCTTGTGAACTCAGGTCCCCCGCCGACCACACCATCACCAACACCAACACCTCCCAGTTTGAGTCTTCTGGCTCCTTTTGTCCCTTCCCCCGCTCCTCCCCACTTCCCGTTTCCTGCACCCCACAACTTGCCACCAAGAACCTGAACCTCAGGGCCACTCTGGAGATGACAGGACGGCGCTCAGAAAGAAAGCAGCGATGCCTAGTGGCTACGACATTAGCGCAACGTCCAGCCCATCTCCCAGCAGCTGGGGCGGGGTGGGGGCTTGCGATAGGCTCTCTTCTCCCCAGATTGGCCCCAGGGCCTCTGGGATCCCAAACAGGAGAGAGAGAGAGGCTGCCGCCTAAAAGGGGGTCGTAATTTCCAAGACTCACAACAGGTGTGGCTCTGCTGTCCCGGAAGCTCGGTGTCCGCTTCCCTCCAGGGCGGTTCTGCTTCTTGGAAGCCAGTCCTCCCTGTTCCAAGAGGCCCTGGGAAATGTTCCTCCCCAGAAGAGGCACTGGCCTCGAGGCCTGGTTACACCCCCTACCTGAGAAAGAGCAACAGCTCTTCCTCCAAAACGGCAGGTCTCCCAGATATCGGAGAAATAGAAGGGGAGACCCAGCTCAGCCAGAGCACGTCAGGAGTCCGCCCCATGCAGCTTTGGAATGTTACATCCCATCCCCGTCTTCCATAAATCAAGGCTAGATTGTGCCAGGGAAAGATTCTTTCACACCCTGACGTCCGAGGGTTCCACAGTGTGTCACTGGCGGACACGGCCACATTTACCAAAGCAGGTCTGTCAGCTGTTTGGTTTCTTTCCAATACTGGCCATTAGGTTCCAAAGCCATAATAAACGGCCACGGAGACAAAACACAGCTCGGTCCTTACTTCCGAAGAGAAATTCCCAGAAGCGGGATGACCAGGGAGAGGGCATAAGGCTTGAAGGCTTCTGGTGGAAACTCCCGAGAACCTTCCTCTGTAGAAATATGTTCAAGAGACCCTCCCCTCCAGCGCTCGTGAGAAGAAAGGGCACAGCTTTTAGTAAACGAGCAGCTAGCGCGGGTTGGCCCTGAAAAGACCGCTGTTGGGTAATCTGTGGGAGAAATTGGTCCTTAAGGACACTGCCAGTAGATGGCACTCTTGGCTAAGATTTTAGAGTCTGATTTCAGAGGGGGGGGCGGGGTCAGAGGTTTTCAGACCATTCAACAAGCTGAGACACAAACTTGTCCGGAGCACATTGGCAGGAAGAAATCGAGGACATTATCATATGGAAACCAACCGTAGCAGCGGGCCCCTGGGGTCTCGGGGTGCTGGAACGCAGCTCATGAAGGTCTCCCGCATCTTTTCCGGAGCCCCGCACCCAAGCCCCCTGTGCCTCCCCCATTAATTCTCATGCCGGGAAAGCTGCACTAGACCGGTCTGTTTCCTCCCGACCAGCATTCCAGGTGCCAGCAGCGCCGGTCGGCTTATCACAGCGGCCGCTTTACAGCTCCACGTGCGGTTATCGATCAGCTCTCTTGTTGGAGGACACCCTCCAGGTCAGGTGCCCGGAGTTCAGGGCAGTGCCCGACCCCGAGGACACACCTTTGCAGGTGTCTGCCGTGTGAGCACAGGTGAGGTGCTTGGGGCCTCGCCTTCCTTGAGAAGCTGTCATCCATCCCGAGATGGTCGCCTTTGCCACCATGGGTGACTGGGACAGAAGGCGAACGCCCGTCTAGAGGTGAATAACCCACAGGAAGAAGGGTGGCAGAGGGGCTCGGGGTCCTCAGCAGGACAGTCCCAGCCCACTCACCTGTCAGACAAGTTACATAACCCGGCCCAGCCTGCTTCTCAGCTATAAGACGGCTCTAGTCACAATGTGCACGAGAGGCCTCAGCTCAGCGCCCGGGGGCTCCCATGGGCTGGGGAGGTCTGCTGGGCCATCGGCAGCCGGGCCCTCCGGCTCTGGAAGGACAGCTGAAGGGCAAGAACAGCAAGATCGTTTTTTGTTTCCCGTAGGCCACGTCAGACAACATCTTGCCTGTTAGCAGTTGTGCGGTGACCCTTCGGCTGCCGGGATTTCATTTGGTTCCAACACTGCTCACATTCAGCTGCGGCTGGGGGTCCACTGGGGGGCCTGGTGTAGAAGGCCCAGAGTGATGCGCCTTGTCTCCGAGGACGGGACTCTCAGCTCTTTCCCTGTACCCGTGTCAGCATAATGAGCGAGAGTTCTGGATCCTTTCCGGCTTCCAGGCCCCAGGGTGACCGGTGACTGGGAGAGCTTGCACCCATTTTCAGCTTCGTAAAGTAAAGATCAAAGGCCCTGCACCCTACAGCCTGCTGGACTTGGGGGCAGGGTCCTCAGGGGGTCCTTCCAGGAGTCCCCCGTCAGTCAGTCTCCGTGAGCTTACGCATACGCAGATCTCTAGCTCCCTACCTGCAGAGCTGTGCCCCCGAACGCTGCTCTTTGGCAGGGAGAGTCCCCTTAGGAGAAAATGGCAATTGGCCCAGAAAGGAACTTGGCCCGTGACTCAGTACCCCAGCGGCCTCCTGGACTCCCAGCTTCCCCGAGAGGGCCGGTTCTGAACGTCCTCGTACTGCCCGGGTCCGCAGGAGGAGCAGACCGGGTCGGGGTGGAGGCGAGAGGGGCGGGGACATCACTTCGGCCCCGCGCGCCCCACCGGGCCTGAGCGCCTCCGCATGGCGGACCCCGTAGGAGCCGCCCGCACCCCGGGTCCCAGCCCGGGTCGCGGAGCCCCGCCGCCGCACCAGCAGGTGCGCGCCGGCGCCGCGGGGGCGGGGCTTGCGCCCTCTAACCGCCAGGCAACGGCGGCGGGGCGCGGGGCGGGGCCTGCGCCGGCGGGGCGGGGCGGGGCCTGAGCTGGCATATAAAAGCGCCGGCGGGCCTGCGCCCTGACGCAGCGGCCGGCAGCCGCGCAGGGAGCGGGTCTTTGCTGGGCGGCGGCGCGCGCCTCGTGGTCGGCCCGGCCGGAGGCTCGGCGGCATGGCAGGCGCCGGCCCGAAGCGGCGCGCGTCCGCGGCGGCCGCGGCGGCGGAGGAGGAGGAGCGGCAGGCGCGGGAGCGGATGCTGGCGACGCGGCGCGCGGACGGCGCGGAGGGCGTGACCCTGCAGCGGAGCATCACGCTCTTCAACGGCGTGGCCATCATCGTGGGCACCATCATCGGCTCGGGCATCTTCGTGACGCCCACCGGCGTGCTCAAGGAGGCGGGCTCGCCGGGGCTGGCGCTGGTGGTGTGGGCCGTGTGCGGGGTCTTCTCCATCGTGGGCGCGCTCTGCTACGCGGAGCTGGGCACCACCATCACCAAGTCGGGCGGCGACTACGCCTACATGCTCGAGGTGTACGGCTCGCTGCCCGCCTTCCTCAAGCTCTGGATCGAGCTGCTCATCATCCGGCCGTCCTCGCAGTACATCGTGGCGCTCGTCTTCGCCACGTACCTGCTCAAGCCGCTCTTCCCCACTTGCCCGGTGCCCGAGGAGGCCGCCAAGCTCGTGGCCTGCCTCTGCGTGCGTGAGTACGGCCCGCGGGGGCGGGGGGCGGCAGGGCCCGGCCAGCCACGTGGGTCGCGTCCGTCCGTGGACACGTCCTCGTGGGGCTGGGGCGGTGAGTCAGCGGGGCCCCTGCCCCAGCCGCGGGGGTGGTGGGGGTGAGGGCGGGGGGGGCGTGTTCCACTTCCTCACCTAGTCCCTTCACGACTCCCTTCCCCTGCCTCGTGCGAGCGTCCGCGCGTGTCCCGTCCGCGCTCCCCGGGGCCGACCGCCCAGCAGACGCTGCAGTTAGAGGGAGAAACTCATTCATTCCTGCTCCGGAAACCGGCCGGTCCCGAGTCGGCAAGGGCTGGCGCGTCCCAGCCAACGGTCGTGTAGGCAGCGGCCTCGAAGTAGCCACCGCGGGGTCCGGGCTGCGCGTTCACTTTGTGTGGGATGGGGGTGCAGGGTGGGCCTGGGGGTCCGCAGCCGTGCTGAAAAACAGCCCTGCTCGAGTTCCTCACCTTGGGCATGGTCTGGGTGTGTCGGAGGATACGGTGCGGGGGGGGGGGGGGGGGGGGGGGGGGGGGGGTAATGAGTGCTCAGCAAAACCCATTGTCTTGTGGGATTTCAGAAAAAAATCGTTTGTACCAAACATCATGTGGTTTTCTTCTCTTTCTTGGCTGTTGGCGCCTTTTATGCCTGCCTCCCCTTGGCCGGCTTCTGGGGAGCCTTGCGGATGGAAGCATCCTGCTTTCAGAGCTGCCACCAATGCGAGGGTTTCCTGGATGTTCTTAAGTGCCCACAGGTCCAGAGCCCGCAGGCTACGTTCAGGGTTGGGGTCCTGGCCGCGAGACTGGGGGACTGTGCGCTTACTAGGAGTGGCTTCTGATGGGCAGTGGCTGCTGGTGCCGTGGGGATTCTGCAGTGTGTGGGCCGAGTGTCCGGCACGAGCCACACTGTCCTGCGGGGCAGGCCCGCTTCACGAAGTGCTGAGTCCAGAAGGCAAAACCCAGTGCGGTTCCCCTTGGCTGCCTGACATGGCACGCTTTCCAGAGAGACCCTGAACAGAGCAGCCATGCGGGGGAAGGAGCACTGTTTGCCTTTTGGGGGGCCGTCTCAGGATGTGGATCTTGGCTTTAAAAAACACAAAAACATTTGTCCAAGTCTAAGAGGTCCATCTGCTCGAGGACAGGAAGACCTGTGGTTTCTGGTGGAGCTTTGAGATGAGGGTTTTATGGGATGACACATTGGTCCGAAAAGGGAAAGACCCTCTAAAGGCAGGATGACTTTTCTTGATACGATTATAATAATCACGTGTCAATATGATTTAGCGTTTGTGGGCCCAGTCTGTGGTGAAACAGATAATGTCTCTTAGGGCCTGTCCTCTCTCCAGTCTTTAAAAGAAAGTCCCTTCTTAAACTTTCAGGTTTAAGTAGATGACAGAGGGACTGCAGTGAGCTCAGTGCTGCCCCCCCCCCATGTCACTGTGGCACTGCTGGGCCTGGCCAGGAGTCCTGTCGACGATGCCCCTGCCCCTGGGGGCCGTGAGGGCGGCTGAGGTTTTCCATGTCCTCATCAGTCTTTGGGGCTCTTCTTCCCTGAACCGCCTTGGGAGTGTGTCCAGTGTGTGTAGGTATGGGTGGCTCTCTCTGGTGGAAAGAGGACTTTCAGTTACAGAAGGGCACTCCCTGTCTGCCAGGGTGAGTACCCGTCCAGAGCCTCACCGTCTGGAAAGAGAGGCCAGTCCAAGCCTCGCAGAACTCGGAGCTGCCTGGCACAGGCGGCTCTAAGTTGAGCAGGGAGAAAGGTTCTGGGTGTCCAGGGAGGCAGGCCCACTCTTGTAGGGCCTCTGAGGAGGCAGCGAAAAGCCACAGAGAGTTTCTGAGTGTCCTCCAAGTATCCCACAACGGCTGGGTTCTAGAAGTTCTCCCCGAGGAGAGGAGGGACACTCTGCTCCACTCTCCGCCTCGAGCCCCCCACCCGCTGCAGCAGTGCGGGCCCAGGCTCCATGGTGCACCGTGGGAGGGCCTGGTGGCCTGCCCCTTTGGTGCTGTGTCGTGGGCGCTCGAGCAAAGTTCTCAGGTTTGCTGGTTGGTCTTTTCAGTGTCCTGGACACAACCCAGCACAGTTTTGGCTTCCTAAAAAGTGCTGCTGAGGAACAGGTTGGCTTCGGTGCTTGGTGCGGTCCTGCTGGTAGTATGTGCGGGCATAAAGCCCTTTTCTTGTAGGTCTTACCGCAACGACCACCATGGGGCCCTCGTCTCGTGTGGCTCTGGTGTTGCCCAGTGCATGGAACGGTGAGAGAGACTCGCTCTGTCAGTCTTTTTTTTTTTTTTTCTTTTTTTTTAAGATTTTATTTATTTATTTGATAGACAGATCACAAGTAGGCAGAGAGGCAGGCAGAGAGGAGGAAGCCCACTCCCTGCTGAGCAGAGAGCCCAATGTGGGGCTCGATCCCAGGACCCTGAGATCATAACCTGAGCCGAAGGCAGAGGTTTTAACCCACTGAGCCACCCAGGCGCCCTTGCTCTGTCAGTCTTGACGGCTGTGTGGGATCTGGCATGAGACCAGGCTTACCTTCTCCCTAAACAAAAACTTGGTAGCGTTTGCTTGGACCTGAGACGATGGGGGCTTTTATTTTCGGGCAGAAGTCGTTCAGACTGGAGTTCAGATTCTCGCCAGCCTCAGCTGCTGTATCGAGGTCACTCCTACTCCAGACGCAGGTGTCAGGCCAGTGGCTGCAGACGGCTGGGCGCCTACCCTCCTCTGCCCTCTCCCCCACCATTGGGTGTGGGCGTGACTGAGCCCCCTGGGACAGCCGCCACTTGGACCCGCCACGTGCATGTAGAGCTCATGGTCTGCTGGTGGCTCTGGGTCCCTTTCTGGCTAGGGTCTGGAAGGCACTTCCGTCTGCCTTCTTGTGGGAGACAGACGGGGGTTGCCAAGGGTCCCCTACCCCACCATGCCCGTGGATTGGGCAAATCCATGTGGGGCAAGGGTGAGTGTTCCGCCGGGGACCTGTGAGCCAAGATGGTTTCCAGCTGGTGTCAGGGAGAGCCTAAACTCTGCGTGGGAACAGACCTGGTCTGCTTCGGGAAATCTGCTTGGGCCTCAGCAGAGTTTCCACATCCGTGAGATGGGGATGGGTCACAGCTCTGCCCGGTGAATGTGGGAACTCTCGGCCACGGCGTGCGGATCGAGCGCGGCACACGTGGCTGCCTTTGTTCCCAGCACCACCCTCTGTCTGCTGCTCACCTTTCATGTCTTGAGCTGCCCTTGAACTTGTTGTTTTCTAGTCTAGCAAAGAGCCGGAGGGCGAGAGAACGGAGAGAAGGCAGGAAGAGCGGTGGGTGAATGCCAGGGTCTCCCTCTCGGGCTGGGGTCTGAGCTGTGACATGCCTGGCCCACAAGGAGTCCCTTCCTCCCTTGGGGACAGGAGATTGGAGGTCCCGATGGCAAGGGGCATGGATCAGGGACGGGTTTGGCTGGCCATGGGTTGGGGCCAGCCGACGTGAGGGTAAGTCAGTTGGGGTGATGATCAAAGTGGGAGGGGAGCCCAGGGCCTACCCCCCAGTCTTCTGGTTGACCGGCTGTCCTCCATCAGGTCCAGGCGGTGCCCACTCCGGGGGCTACGGGGTACCCACACAGTTTGTCTGCCACTATATGGCCTGGTCTCGGGCATCTGAACGCCTGCCAACCGCTAGGGCTGGGCCCATCTCTGCCCAACCAGTGAGGCTTCTGGGTGTTTGCACGTTGCTCGCGACCAAGGAGTCACAAGCCGTGAGCTAAGTGCAGACGACGGCCCAGTCATTAGCACAGAAATCTCACTTTCCCAGCCAGATACGAACGTGCTCGGGCCACTGGAACAAGTCACGCTGGGTCACGGGACTGGAGCTCAGCCCCGTGAGGTCCTTCACAAGAGCGTGTGACTTCAAGGAAGCGTGAGATGCTGGGTGGGCATTTCTAACCCTTCTCTCTCTGGGTCATGGACCCCTTTGATAATCCGATGGAATGTGCAGACTCTGCCCAGAAATGTGTTCCAGGCGTATTAACTCCTAAGTGTGCATAATCCCCACACCCCTGCCCCCCCAAGGGTGGCAGAAATGGATCTGGCATCTCCTGGCTGCCTCTCATCACATGTTCCTGCCCCAGCCTTTGAAAGGAGTGTTGCCATCCTTCTCGTATGGCCAGGGAAACTGAGGCAGTGGTGGGCTGAGAGCCCACTGTGCGTGCTGAACCGTCTTTTGTCATGGTGTGTAGGGACACAGGGCCCCATCTTGGGCGGGAGTGGCGGATGGCAGGACCCTGGGGTGGTGTCGGTCGCCAGGTCCAGGCATCCGGTCAGCCAGGGTAAGGAGACGTGGGGACTTGAGGTTTGTCCCATGGAGTCTTTGGGGTGTGCTTGTATCCTGACCGGGGTGCCTGACCACCCCCCCCGCCATGCACAGCTGGCCAGGGAGCCTTTTATCTTTCCTTCTTGTTTCCATCCAGATCTTTCTCTTGCACAGGAGCTTCTAGGGCAGGGGAGGCCCACAGCTGCCCCCCCGGCACGTGCCCCTTCCCATGACCACCTGGATCGCCAGTCCCTGTTTGCCTTCTGTGACCCACAGCAGGTGCTGGGACCCAGGGACTGCTGGGGGTGCGACCTCCCTGGGCCCTCTCTGCATTGCTGGCCGGCGCTGCCCAGGGCACACTTGTCCCCAACACGGCTTTGTCCCGCGCCCTCCCAGCCGGCCTCCAAGCTCCCGTGTGCCTAGGGAGGCTCACAGTGTGGGAGGTCCCTTTCCCTCCAGATGCCTGTCCAGGCGGACCTCCCTCCCTCCCTGCGGGAGAATTTTTGGGGGCCACGCCCGCCCCTCCCACCGCGTGAGGCACGGGCACCAACCTCCCTTCTGGGCCCTTGGAGCACGGTGCTCGCAACCTGATCCTGCTCTGAGTTCCTCTGACCTTAGCTGCTGGCTGGCGTCTGTCCCTACTGAGACCCGGCGGATTGTCCATGGTTGTCTGTGAGCTCACAACGTGGCCAGTCCAGCTCTGAGG